CAGCAGATCTACTTTCTCTATATAATCTGTGTATTCTAAAGCTATAACATTGCTCAAATGAAAGCAGCCAACAAAAAAGTCAGGTGTATTATGATCTTGAGGATCAAAAACCAAGTTGTTTAACAAGTTTTCTTCCTTTTTCATATATTAATTCCTCAGTTAAATAAATTCTTTTTGCTTGGTATTGCAAAACCCAATTTGCTAATGCTTCATATAGCTGTGGTTGAAGTACTTGGTGGTAGCGTTTGATCCTAAGGTCTTTTTTATCATTCATCTTGAGATATTCATCTTGTTTAGCAAGAATTCGTGAAAGTGTTGCTTGGTTAGGGGTATTGTCAAGATCAAATTTTTCTTTGGCCCACTTTGCAAGCTCTTCTTGTATAAAAAATAAATTATTTTGCTTTTGTAAACAATTTTTTTTTGTGCTGGTCATTAGTAAGGCTGATTTTCTTTAAAGACATAAAAGAAAAAATCTTTCTTTCTAATTTTTTTTTTTTTTAAATCTTTTTGTATTATCTTTATATAGTGTATAATGAAATACTATTTTTATATTAAATATAGAACAGGTTTTTTGTTTAAAATTAACTTAACAAGAATTTATTACTATTTCACAATGCAAATATATTGATTAGTGAATTTTCTATAGCTTGTATTCATGAATCCTTATTGTACTATTTTATTAATTTAATTTTTATTTGTGATTTAAATGTTAATGTTTTTTTTTTTTTGCTTTATTTATTTTAAATTTTTGCATGCTATTTATTATATTTACCCTAACTATTTCATAATTCAAATATTCAGAGCTAAAAATTCATATAGCAGTTAGAAATATTTTACTGTCTTATTTTTGTGTAAATTCACTTCTTTACATTTTACTAACACCATGTCTAATGTTTTTGAATCATGGTTACAGTTGTGTATTTTATTAATTTATTTGATTTGAATAGGCTTATATATATACGTATTAATTTTTCTTTTCATTTTATATAAATTAATTTTGACTATTATTAACTATCATTTACTATTGCTATGTTGTATTATTTTTATCACAACTTGATTTCTATTTACTATACTAAAATGATGATAAAATTATCATTATGCATTTAAAGTTATCTTTGCATGCATAATCGCAACTACTTAACTAATTATATCAATATTAAGTTACTTAATCGTTATCCTGTTATATAATCGATCAAAGTTTAACATATGATTGTCATACAAAGAATCTTAAATATCGAATACTCTAGTTTTCACTTAACTATCTTTATTATTGTATATCAATATTCCAACTAAATATTTTTGTTACATAATGATAATATACAGATTCATAAGTTATAAATATGTATGATTAGTATATATGGTATATTAAAAGAATTTATTAGCTGCTTATTATATTACATAAAAATTATTACTATCTAAATATATATACTGTCTAAATACATAGAAAATCATCTGACAGATAGTATGCATTTAGATAGTATCGACTGTATCAACAAAATTAAAAGATCATAGGGCATTTGTGCAATATATAAATTATATAAATAAAGTTCTCAGATCATAGTAAATTCAAGAAACTGAGAAGATTGAATACCCGCTTGGCAAGATCTGAGTAGAAAGATAACACAGATCTTTGATAGTACTACATAAAGAACTATTACTAGAAAAGCAGATATCTAAACAGGACCAAAGTGTTTGGCAAGACATTTTACCAACCAGGCTACCGGAAGAGTAACTAGAGAAAAAAGACCCAACTGTAGAGACTAAGAACAGGTTATAGCCCTTTTAGACTATCTGAATTGGTAGTTTGAAAATTCAGAAAATATGAAAGATAGTCTGTAAAGTGGGTACTAGGGTTTGGGTAAACTTTACAAGAGCAGAAGTAGGTAATAGTAGCAGCTTCAGCTCACAAATACTTGTTTTTAGACTTGACGTAAGTTACTGAGATCTAGGTTAGCCAGATTGTAGGTATAGAAAACTTTAGCAAGTTTATTTTAAGAGTAAATTAGCTCTAGGTCTGGATGCTTCCTATGGCAGATATTGGTTTCTCATAAGGATATAGTAGTGCAGAGAATTTAAATAGATAATTCTCTAGTTGGATTATAGATATAGTATCTAGTATAGATCTTTTAGGTGGACTACTTAAATAGGCAATTAAAAATTGTATATATGGCTAGTTGTACTCTCCAAAACTATATACCAAATAAGTAGTGACTAACTTGATCAGCTTAGCACATAAACTAATAAAAGCAACCGACTATGAGGTCACTTTTATATTTAAAAAAAAAATTTTCTATATTTTGACAAAATTTCTAGAAATACAGAAATATCAGAATAAGCTATACAATATTTAATTCTTAGTATAATAAATACACTTTTAGCAATAGGCTCTATTTGTATCTCTTATATGCCTGCTTCTTATAATAAGTTTTCAAAGTTAAATAAGTCAAACTAGACTTGATCTATTTAATTTTAAAAACTTATTATAGGAAGCAAATATATAAAAAATATAAATAGAGTCTATTTGCTAAAAATATATTTATTATACTAATTGTATATACTAACTTTAGCTTAGATACTAATTGTAAAATATTATTTTATAGCCTTTAAAAATTCTAAAATTGATTAGACTTTTTTTTCTATATCCTAATTATCATAATATATCTAAGGAATTGCTATTTCTACTATAGTAAATTGCTATTTCCACCATGGATTACATGAAAAATATAAAAAATTCTATTTTTAAATAACTAATCAAATTTAAGAAATTAATTTTTTTAAAATTAAAGAAAAA